ACACGAACTTTAAGTGAAGCAAGTTTTAAATCTTGCTCGGAGCAAGAAACAAAACAACGTTTAGAAAGAAGTGTGATTCATTGTTAAGTCGAGCTTGTCATTTAAAAGACAAAAATGTTTCCACTTATGATTATGTTTCATTTTACAGTGTTTCAACAAACAAATTACATTTATGGACCAAGTCTGTCTATTTTATGCTTCAGTGGTTCAAACATTTACGTGCATAACTTTAAATCCATTGATCTGCACATTTAAGGGTCAGCTGTATGTATGCAAGAGCGTTACATTTCATCCCGGTAAAAAGCCTATTGACACGTGTAACTTTAGCTGATGTACCAGGATAATTATGATTCATTTTAAGTTATCTAGTTTGAAATACTGTTCCCTGTTCATCACAGGCCAAATTATTGTTTTGTTTGGTTTTATTCAAAACATGTGTGGCATTGAAACAAATTGAAAGTATTCTATTCAGTCTTTTTTTTTTCCTTATTTTTCTTCCTATTAGACAAGAATCACACCCCTTTATCCTCACGACTAATGGTGGATCCACACAAAAAAAACCCCAACAGATAAATATGAAAACTGAAAAGCCTAATAAAGCTGTATAAGGAAACATGAATCATGCTTCATTGTACATTAAAATAAGCTCATTTAAATGACAAATGGTATATTCTTAGCGTACTTTAACAGAACATAAACGGGTGATGAACTATCTGTGCTCTGACCCACCAGAGCAAATCATAGTGCCTCCTCTTTGTGTGACCAAAAATACTCTCTGATGTGACCAAAATGCGCCATCCACCTCCCTCAGTTCAGGTAATGGGATCATCTCACCACACCTGCCTTGGCACAGTCTCATTCTGTGGCAGGAAAAATTGCCATTTTGGTCACATGAAACACACACGTGCTGGCACACAGGAGGGAACAGGTCCAGGTGTGCAGTCTACTTGTCCTGCAGAATAGGTTTGCTTGCCTCACAAAAGTTTCCCAATCTCAGTTTTTTTAAATTCAAAAATTCTTAAGAGCTGGTTAATCCCTATATTTAAATCCTAGTGACCTTAGAAGGTTCTGCTGTGACTCAAACGAACATATGGAGGCCTAACACAGAGATGGCATTGACCAGAAAGAATGCATACAGGCATTACAAATCGATGAAACAACTCTCAAAACCATGTTTGAATTTCTAACTGAAATTCCAAGCCAATTTTTCAAGCTGAAAAAGAATTATTTGAAATAGTTCTTCGTGACAGTATTCATCTAAGCAAGTACTTCTCTTATTGAAAATAGTCCATTTTAAGGAAAATAACAGTATTCATTTAAAAGCATTC